TTGCCAGGAGTGCTTTCTTGTGTCCTCCTCAACAAGTCTTTTCTTCCAGCAGCATCGAGAAGCTAGCTGGATATAAGCATGCCCTTCTCTCTCACACCTCTTGTTCCCCTGCAAACCTCAACAGGTCCCGCTCTTCTCCAGCCCCCCCATAAGCCAAGCAGAGTAGCTGTCAATTCAGCCATCAGCCGGCACCATCTGCCTTCCTCGTTCCTCTGCTCACACAAACCCAACGCAAAGGCAATCCTTTGGCGCTTGCAAAGCTGGCCTCGTCTCTGGCGCTGGTTCCGCTTCCCCGCGCTCAATCCACTCCCCACCACTACTGTGTTTCATAGACTGCTTATATCTTTCAGTAAGTGAGCAGGCAACTCTGTGCCAGAAATTTCTCATTATACATTGCACAGCCCCAAGGTCAGGAACTCTTGATCCCTCGAGTTCCCTCAGAATACAATGAACAAAGGCATAAAATAAGCCACTATTTGAAAGTGTCACATTCATTAGAGATGAGCTGCAGAAATAATTCTGGAACTCCGCAACCCTGAACTCAAAGGATATAAAGTCCAAATCCAAACTTGATGTCGTGCGCACGTTTTCCAGATAGAAAAAGGACATCGTTTTCCTTCTGGGGTTGACCAAAATTCATGCAGTGTATCCAGCTGCAGCCCCCTCACACGCTTGGGAGATGGGGGCCTGAGCTGGCCTCTTATCAGCATAGAAGATCTCGCATAAGAAAAGCATCTTTATTCTTCAGGGATTCAGGGACTGAAAATGGAGCCTTAATTCCAGGTGCCATTTGTGTTAAGAGATAAGTATCACTATGGGAAACGAACAACATTATCTCTACTCCCGCCTATTCCCACCAATAAACAGCCCAAAGAAGATTAGTGGTACATGCTGCTGCGTTAATGAGGGAGACATCATTAATCAGCAGACAGTGACACGGGCTCTGACCTTTGGCTCAAACGCAATCCCATCTGCTGACTTCACTCCCCAGGAGGAGTCTTCTAAGCAGAAAATACAAGCTCCTGGGAACTAGGGAAGAATTTAGCATAGACATTTAGTCTAGTTTTAATATTTTCTGGATGCTAGGCTTGGATACGGAATCTGAAAACAAGAGGAAACCATCTCCTTTTCCTAAAGCAAGATGGGCTCAGGGCAAGCTGAGACCTCCTTTCACCGGCTATAAAGTTAGCACAAACAGACTCTACAAGGGAACCCCTGCAGCTTTGAGATTTTAGGCTTGGAGCACACCTGGATAAAGAAAATATCCTCTTATGCTTGTGGCCGTTATTTTGATCCAAACCCTTGGCTCGGTGAGGAGGTTACTTGCACTGATACAGCTGCTTTGGCAGCACAGGCCATTTCAGCAAATCAGGAATTTGGTGCTCTATCAGCTGCACCGAACAGTTTGCTCCTGACGTATCAAAGCACACAGCGAGCGCACAGGGCCCAGATCTTCCTATGTTTATAAAGCGTTAGCATCAGACAAACCCCTTACAAGATGCTGGCTTTCTATTCCCCTAGTTTTAGGGACTCGCAACCCAGACAAAGGTATCCTCTTCACCTTCTGACTGCCTGGTGAGGACATGCTGGTGATTGGTGTCTGGGAAAAAAGCCCTCAAAAATAATCTCAACCCTGTCAGTTTAGAGCATCCCTCATGTTTATGTCGTTCTCGCAGAAGGACCCCTAGGTCAGTAAATCATACCAAAGGAAAGCATCCTCTTTTGGTGGTCTCCTTCGCAATTGAGGTAAGATAAGTGATGGAACAGACACCGTAGATGCTGGAGATGTCTCTTTTTATGGCCATCCAGGAAGGAGAGCGAAAGGAAGCTGTTTATGGCCACATCATGCTGCTTTTGCAGGCGTTCTGGGAAGTGAGGACCCACGCAGAGGCCCCTCGCATCTGGATGACAGATTCAGACAATGGATTGTTTTTAATCTTGGTATATAGGAGATTCCAGCTAAACTGATTTCATATGTGCTTTGCCTGGTCCCCAGCCAGCACGGGTGAGGCAGACCAAGGCAAGAATAATTTTTTGTGTCCTGAGGTTGGGCCCATGGTTCTAGTGCAGTCCAGCCATAGCCCATTGGCCAGACAAATTGCAGAGGACATCCCTGGGTATGGGGAACTGGTTCTTCACCTGAGAGGCATGTAAAAAGGCTGTTTCAGATTCTACCAGTTCCAAGTCCTCGGACACCGGAGCACTGCAAGAAAGCCTTCTGTTAAAATTTTAGAAAGCGTCCTGGCATCCTGCCAAGGAAAATCGACTGACACTGATGTCTTCTCAACATAAAAGAGCATCCATGCCCCACCAAAGGATTAACCTCTGTAGCTGGTGTCTCACTTTGGAAAAGTTTCTCGGAAGGGCTGAACCCAGGTCACACAGCATACACTGACAGAGTACTAGAATGATGCTATCAAGGAAAATGTCTGGATTGCAGGAGGGTGGGGGTATAGGAACAGTCACCTGGACACAGGGATGCTCTTTTCCCTGAGAATTGATTGTTGGGAGAAACCCCATGGGACAACGTATGCTGTCAAGCCCACAGTGCCATGGTGGTAACTTTCCTACCTGGAGACAAATTCCAGGTTAAACATCTGGATTCTAGTGCATTCATTATCCCTTGTCGTGGTTACAACAGAGCCTTGGAGAGAAATGAAAGGGAAGTGGAGTTCCTGAAGCCCATCTAGGTGGGACACAGTCACACCAGCACAACAAACATGTTTTATCTCTAAAATGGCAAACACAGGCCAGCAGGGTTTCATTAGGGTATGTGGGAAAGAGCTTTAACAACCAAGGCAGGAAAAGTTTAATGCTGTTTTCCTTTTCATTTGCCAGATGTTTGGAAAATACAACAAATGTTTATTCCCCTACTTCTGAGAGGTGCAGCCTGCCTGGCAAGGTATGAGTCTGGCCCAGGAGAACTGCAGCAAAACGCTTGGGGCGAGCATGTCCTTCTTATAGAGTTCTGCACACCTTTCAGAGACATGCTGAGCAGTGATAAAGGAGATGCTGAGACTGGACCTTAAGGAACTGGAGCCAGCCTCTCCTGAAGAGCACTCAGACTAGTGGCACTGTGAATGTTTAACATACTGATTTTCGAGCACCTCATCCTGCCTTTGCTTCAAACTTTACTACAGAAGCATGTGCCTTATGGCATGGACCAAGACATTGCCTCTCTCTGAGTCTCAAATTTAACTAAGGAATACAGTGGACAAAATTATCCTGAGTTTAAGAGCAAAGAGCAGTTCCAGGGGCTTCCAGAACCAGGCAGAGTTCTGCCTTAACTACCACAACTGGCCTTGACATTGTTGAATTTTCACACCCCAAATAAAACTAGTCCTCTGGTCTGAGGATCAGGTATTTGGCCATTTCTAAGCAACTCTGCTAACCACCTACGAAGTATTTCCTTTGAAAATGGCAGAGGTCTCTGCACCATCTTACCAGACCCTGCTGAGACTGGTCCTTTGTTTCCTGCAGTCCTACCTCCAGACACGGGATCTGATTGCTGACACTGCATGCTTGCCCTCATGTTCAGTGCAGAGTTGCAACTGCACATCTGGGCAAAACATCTGGGTTCTCCACTGAAGTGTTTTGAGAAGGTAATTAATACTTATCTCCTCCAACTTCTGTGCTGAGGAAGGCGCAAAGAGGAGTTGCTGCAAATTCCCCTTCTATCAGGTTGGGAACTTCTCCAGAGTTTGAAAGTTGACTGCACTCCCCAGGCTGCCCACAGCACCAGGCTAAGGCTGATGCTGAGAAGGGGCAGACTGCATTCCCACTGCTTGGCTTCAAGCTACAGTAGCTCTATAGCTACTGCTTAAGCAGTGATGCTTTAGAGCATCCCTGGCAAGCACAAACCATGCCTCTGAAGCACTGCATCGTTTCCAAGAGGGATGCCGAGGCTGCAAGAGGTCACTCACATTTACAGCTCTGCTGGAGATGAGCAAGGTGCATCCCACAAGGTAATCAGAAAGCCAGGAAAACCAGGCACAGCAGGCAGGCTGCCTGCAGATAACCCTGGATTGAGAGGGAGGTATGCTTGCCCTGTGGAGCTGGGCCAGTATCAGGCCACCAGCTCAAAGAAGGGACGCTCATAGGCATGCTGCTGACTGGCATTTCATGTCTCTAGTACGAAATTTTCAGTTGTGCCTGCTTTGTACTGAAGGACAAGGTTCAGGTTCTGGCCAACATGTCAGTTTGGAATAACATCACCAAGTCAGTGAAGCAATATTGCATTTATTTGCTCCATGCCCTCATCTCATGGAATCAGATCTTCTGCAGTACACCGAGAACCATAATGTTATTTCTGGTTGTCTTATTCCATCACCATCCCAGCTAGTCAGACTCTACCCACTTTGCCTGCCTTCCAGTTACTCTGTTGAACTAGCGGCATCAAGTTGCAAGCTGCAAAAAGATAAATATCAAATGGATGTGAGGAGGATATTCCTCACCACGACAGTGGTGCAGCCCTAGGACAAGAGCCCCAGAAGAAAAGGCTTTGAGGTTTCAAAGCTCACTCAAACTGACCAACATGAGCAACCTGATCTAGCTTTGAAGCCAGTCCTAATCTAAGCAAGAGGTTGAACTAAAGCTCTCCGGAGTCCCTTCTGTTCAACAAGTCTGTGCAGCCATTAAAGTATCTGTCAGAAAACACCTGCATGAAATAAAAAACTCTTTCTAGTTTAAGAGAAAAAAATCAGACAAGCTCTAGTCCTCATTTCCTTGCCTTGGACTGTGGGAAGTAGATAAACAGATCATAAATTCATATTGCAGTACATTTATTAACATGCCTTGATGCTTGCAGTACTCCCTCCTATTTGGAAGTGAGGATCAAGGCTGACATGGAAGCTCCTTCACATCTCTACTTTGCCAACCTTAGAGATGCGCTGTGAGCAGAGAGATTCTCAAGTTTTTAAATGCCCTTGTGCTCTCAGAGTGTAGCTGGGAATCCGGTGCTGAGCAGTCTGGTGAAGCCACGCAGAAGTCTGCAATCTTACCTTCACATCTGTGGCTGGTCTCGCTCTGCTTGTGTCCTGCAGGGCATTTGCATTCGTAAGAACCCACTGTGTTGATGCAGTTACCACCTTGACAGAGGCCAGGAATGGCTTGACATTCATCCACATCTACAGGAAGAGCAAAGTTGTTAGAAAGTACCCTACAGACAAATGCTCAATCCCAGCATGGTGGAAGTGCTGTGAGAAAGAAGCAGCTTTCCTCCAAGTAGGTGGCTTTACATTTTGTAATGCAACTACCCATCAGATTACATTGGCGATAAGGTGAAGGACAGAAAATGGACATAAAGGTCCTGCTGGTTTATCAACACAAGCAAGAGGGAGACAAAAGTATAGTAATGTTTTCAAAAGCAAATATCAATGTATACCCCATCCTGTTCATTCCAGGTTGGTAGCTGAGTTGAGGACAAGAATTTGTTTGGTGCAACGTCCTGCTGCAGCCTTCAGAGAGCAACATCTGCTGCAGGGCAGAGAGGGGAACCCATGGACTGTAAGCTTTTGCTCTTCAGCTCCATCCCAGGAAGGCTCATCCTGCAGCCATGATCCCATCTGTGAGGGGACACTGTGCTTTGGAAAGCACCTCAGGAAGGCCTCAGTACTTGGTGCTAGAATCAGCACACTCATGCGCTGCCCATATTATTTATACTCCTGTTCTGCTCGCAGTAACAGTGAGTGACAAATCCATTAAATAGGCCAAGCTCTCCTTCGGAGATTGGGGCCATAAAATGCAGATTACAATAACGAGCAAGGGACATACAGTGACAGATTTAACAAAGTTTACACAGAGAACTGTTCTCTGTATTGGGGCTCCTGGCAGTCATTCATTACTCGCCCTTTCAGTGCACATCAGGACGGATAAGGGAACATCCTTTAGATGTTCATGGCATTTACCTTGGCAGGCTCCAGTACGAATATTGGGAATGAAACCTCGGCGGCAGGGGTGAGGTTGGGCAGGGCACATCTCACACGGGTGACCCCAGGCCCGTCCAATGGTGGCACAACACATGGTTTTGGTGCAGACGATCCCACTGAGTTGGCCCTGGCACATCTGGTTATTCACTTGGCTAAAGCAGGGACCAGTACGATAGTCTGAGGGAGAACAATAACATCCACAGGTTAGATCAAGACACAAACAAAAGGTTTTCTGGCTAACACAGGGTGCCTATTCCCCTTCCTACCAGCACAGCCATTCAGCTGCAAAGTGAACAAGGTCTGGAAAAAAAATCTGCAATCATGAAAAGAACAAAAATTTAAGACCAAGCTGGAGACCAGTACTGGAGGTGGTGACTTTCTTTCTGCTGCATGTTTCATGCAATCATCTAGAGATTCTCTCCAAGCCAGCTCTTCCTGGTCTTCTTCAGGCTCATCCCATGAACCATACTTATTCTATGCCTTGAGTCACTCTAAGTACTGGCCCTAGAATGAACTCAAAATAGGAAGTCAGGCAAAAGGGCAATTTCAGGGCTGCAAGTTCACCTACTTCTCCTTGGCTTGCAGAGGAAGAGTCTTAGGTCTCACCCACAAAACATTCTGGGAGAGAATTTCCAAACCTTTCCCCATGATGTCTACTGTAAATCCCGTAAAGGGATTTCTACGCTCTGACAATCTCTGTGAAGGCAACCTCCTGCAGTAATAAACTGAAAATTAATCACAGTGATGTGTAATTCTTAAAGGTCCCCTGGTAATTTTAGCTAGATCTTTAAAACACAGATGCTACAGAAACAACCAGCCTGTTTCTCATTCCCAACAACGATCCTCCTATTCCTTAAAACCAAAACGATTTTGAAGGGCTTGTTTGCACTAAGGAATGTGGTTTTGCCACTGTCTGGGCTCTCAGGAGCCTTGATTAGTGATATTAGCACAGCAGGCATTCATCAGGGAACTAAATTCTTAAAGAAGAGATTTATTCCTTCTTCTGGGAATAGATGATTGCATGCAAGTTTTTGATCTGTGGCTAGAAAAAAGGACCTTTATGTTATTGTCAGACCAGAAAATTCCACATTAACTGTCTAAGGAAGTTAGGTGTTGGTCAAATAGCTGTTATTTCAGATAATCTGGCTGAGATTTGCAAAGTTGTTTAGGGAATTTTGATGTTGGAGTGCCCAGCAATTAGTAATTGACTGTGAACCCAAATCCCTGCATCAATACCCAGATTAGCCCACGGCTGTCTTTGCAGTGAAACATTTGGATTTGACATGTGAAGTACCAAAACTCTTGTGTGGAGGGCAGTTATACCCAAATCATGAGCCATCAGCAGCACTGGCACCCACATCTAAAGATTAGTAGGTCTGTTTCCAGAAATGTTTTAGTATAATATAGACACTCAACAAAGCAAAGCTCTGTTGCCTGCAAGTCCTCCGATACGAGTCTTTCCACACATGATCTTTGCAATCAGCTCCCATTTAAATCCTGACACACACATGTGAAGACTAAAAAGCAAGGAAAACCATTAAATAGACAGTTTTGAGACAGAAAGCTTTCTCCCGTAGGGTATGTTTGCATGACAGCTGCATTGGCAGAACCTACACTTGCATGAAACCGTGGCAGAGTGGCTTTATACTGGGCTGTAAAGCATCATCTGGAAATGCTGGCAATTACTGCAGGCTTTAGACCGACAACGCCTGTGCTGATGTGCCTTCCTCGCTCCTGTGGCTTGTCCTGAGTAGAAACAGTGTGAGGTTCATCTGTGTTATAATTATCCCACCTGGCATGAGGGTAAGCATAAACTACATGGAAACCACACAACAAGTCCTCCTCTATCTCTGGGAAAGAATCAATTAGCACAATAATGACTGATTTCTAGCTTAGTGCTCCCTCTGGTTTGTATTTCTTGAGCAGTTGGGAGCACAGCCACACTTAAAAACTAATACTGAGAAAAGTGTTGAAAGAAGTTGGGTCTGTGGATGTCACTGGGAGGTAAACAGCGAGAGGGATTTGAGGGGGGGAAAAAAAAAAAAGGGCAATGATTTTGAAGTGACATTGGTATAAAGGTGACCTGATCTCATAAAAATGCCTTTGTTTGGAAATCAGAACAGAAATATGTACTATGTTTGCAATGGTGAGTTACCAAATAATCATATTTTGGGTTTTGATCCCAATTTTAACAAGATAGCAAAGCACATGACCCTCATTAATGTCTCCTACCAGGCCAAGTTTAATCTTTTAGTTTGTTCTAGTTTATTCCTAGAAAAGAAATCAACAAAATTTGAGTTTTCTCATCCATTGTCTTTTTTGTAAAACTGAGAGGCTCTTGCTCAAATTTTCAACCTTGAGGAAAAGGCTAAGGACAGCTCTTTATAACCACACCAGTGAACAATTTAAATCTTCTCAGTCAGACCCAAAGAACTACAAAAGAAATCGCTTTGTGATGCTATGTCAATGGAGAATTGAATTCTGTAAAGAAAAAAAAGGCTAAACAGATTGTACTGAAGTATTAGGAGAGGGATAAAGAGCAAAAGAGAGCATCATCACAAACCTCACAGCTCGCTTCCACCCTGAGGGCTGCCTGCAGTCCTAGCCCCCAACTCAGAAAGCAGCTCCCAGGATGGAGCAAGGATCAGAAAAGGGCAGCAAGGGTGATCAGAGCTGTGGAAGGGCTTATATATGAGGAACAGCCGCACTGGTTAGCGGTCCTCAGTCTGAAAAAGAAACACCTGGAGGAAGACCTGACAGCAGGGTACAAAATCAGGAGTGGCCAGAGGGGGAACAGGCTTGCAGGGCCAGAATCAGGAGGCATCACAGAAGGATGAGGAGTGATGCTGCCTCAAGACAAATTGAGAAAAGCTGTTCTTCAGGCGATATATAAGTTAAGGGGAATTCGTCTAACAGAAGGTGTTGTGAGTTGTCAAAGATTGTGAGCTGCAGGTGCCTGGAGCCCAGGAGTGTTTTCCAGAGGAGGATCATATAGGATTGCCCTGTTCCTATGCTGCTCCCCAGACACCAGCTTATGGACGCTGCCAGAGATCTGAGACACAAACTCATCTCAGCCAAGGGCCCTCAATCCACCCTCGTACCACTTTGTAAGCCACCGGGGCAGTTAAATCTTAGAGTTGGTTTTGGTTCAGCGTCGTGCTGCGGCATCATTACGGCTGGAGCCTCTGCTTTAGATAACTGTGGTTGGGTGGCCCGCAGCGCGCTCTGAGTGCGGCAGTGCCGATGTGCTTACGGTGAAATATCGTACGTTGTAGAGCCATTCTTAAGCCTTGTTAACCCGAGGACGATGCAGAAACACCTACTAAAGAGGGCTTGCTTTCCCCCTTTCCTAGTCTGAAGGAGCGTGGGGCGGAAGAAGGTGTGGCTGATGTCGTTGTGTACCTGCAAGCGGCTCTGACTTAGAAAGTCAGATTGCATAAATGTAGAACCCAAAATCAGGGCATGGCAGCACGGTACAGAGAGGAAAGGGGTACACTTGCACCTCCCCCATCATCTCGCTGAGGCACCGCGGCAAGAATTCCTTGAGATTGATAATGAAAGCGTGATTGTAAGGAGAACACCCCCTTTTAAACAAATAATTGACAAAAATAGATTTTCATATGTAGATTACTTCTTTGGAGAGAATGAAGCCAAGGAAATTGCAGTCTGGAGTCCAGAAAGCCTGGCTGCATTCCAGCTCCCATCTGTTGCTAATTTTAATGGTCAAATTATTAAATTTTTAATGAGGCACCAATCAAATTTTATAAAGGAAATATGCACGCTTAGGAGATGTCTAAAGCCCTTTTACAGTCTATGTATGGGATCCCATCTTCCAGGAACTCTGTCGCAGGTAGTTGTCCTGCAGAAGTTTGGTCTTTGCTGGTACATTTCTTGGAAAAAGAGAGATGAGGAGGCTTCCTCGCTGAAAGCTGAGATTTTTGCCTGTGTCCTCTTCCGAGCTCACTCAGCCTTACAACAACAGTGTCCAGTGGTAGGATACGGATGAGTTCCACCTTTCCGACCCCAGGTGAAGTTCTCGTTAAAGACATTGCAAGAAATACTGGACCAGGCTTTATTTTGGCAATCAGTCAGAATCTCTTCACCTCTACAGAAAAGACTTTTAACACAGCAGGGCCCAAGCATGTCTGTGCCTTTACCAACAGAAAACAGCATGCCAGTTCGCTGCCTGACTTAACCTCTCCAAATACAGTTTCGCAAACAGTAAATACACAGCACAGGACAGACATCAGCTTCTCTCCCAGCACCTATCATCAGCCTCATCCATGCACTGATCTCATTTTTCTTTCCTGCCCTATTAATTTCAAAGCAGACCGTGCTCAGCACATTCAGTCTGTAGATTTCGTATTGCCCGCGGAGTTAGGTTAGGTTACTATCCATGCGAACTCGTCTTGAGCAGCCGGCAAGCAGAGAGCGCGCTCAAATTGCAAAGGGCACCGTGGAATCAGGAGTGAAGCGTCAACGTGTTTGCATTAACCACAAGAAATCTGACTCCTTGCTACGCTCTTTGTTTTCAAACCCTCGCCACCCCCACCCCACCGAGGCAGTACGGCTTTGGGACATCACCTAGCCTGGACTGCAGACTTCTGCAGATGCTTCAGAGTCAGGTTGGGGCTACAGTGAGTCTTACCTACCCAATCCCGCCGCCAACACAGGCCCCAGATGTGCTCGGAAGAGGAAGCGCAACAGGAGTAGACCTCATTCCCAGTTCCCATGTTTGGCTGGTTGTCGCGGAGATCGTTAGGAACCCCTATAGCTAACAAATGGTCATTCCTGACAATTCCAAGCCGCAAACCCTTGGGGAGTTAACGGGTGGGATTTATGCCATTACACATGCTCCTACACTGAGCCACGCTATTTCACCTGCAAACAGCTTCCTGAAAATATCCCTGTAGACATTTTTAACCTTCCTAATTAGTGCGTCTAGGATGTAAGTGGAGGAACGATTTGCAGTCGCCGTGGACATCCGCCTTCACCCACGTGTTGCATGGAGCCCTGCTGGAGGGGGTGGGATGTTAAAGTACTGTAAGTGGGTTCGAGTACTTCGGGCTCAGCCGAGCCATCACACAAAACCTCGTAGTGTCTCTGTTTCCGGCACTTGGGGTGCTGCGCTGACCGGGGATGCTGCCCTGGCTTTGCCTACCCTACTTAACCCAGGT